CAATTAAAATTGGGATAAAAACAAATAAAATACTTTTTTCCCCTTAAAAGCATGTTACAGAGCTTCACATGCAGGCTGAGCCACCTCACTCTGTTTGTTCCAGTAAAAACATTAAAATATCCCCAATTAAAATTTGGATAAAAACAGTAAAATATCCCCAATTAAAATTTGGATAAAAACAGTAAAATATCCCCAATTAAAATTTGGATAAAAACAGTAAAATATCCCCAATTAAAATTTGAATAAAAACAGTAAAATATCCCCAATTAAAATTTGGATAAAAACAAATAAAATACTTTTTTCCCCTTAAAAGCATGTTACAGAGCTTCACATGCAGGCTGAGCCACCTCACTCTGTTTGTTCCAGTAAAAACAATAAAATATCCCCAATTAAAATTTGGATAAATACAGTAAAAGATCCCCAATTAAAATTTGGATAAAAACAAATAAAATACTTTTTTCCCCTTAAAAGCATGTTACAGAGCTTCACATGCAGGCTGAGCCACCTCACTCTCAGTTTGTTCCAGTAAAAACAATAAAATATCCCCAATTAAAATTTGGATAAAAACAGTAAAATATCCCCAATTAAAATTTGGATAAAAACAGTAAAATATCCCCAATTAAAATTTGGATAAAAACAGTAAAATATCCCCAATTAAAATTTGGATAAAATACTTTTTCCCCTTAAAAGCATGTTACAGAGCTTCACATGCAGACTGAGCCAATCCCAATTAAAATTTGGATAAAAACAAATAAAATACTTTTTTCCCCTTAAAAGCATGTTACAGAGCTTCACATGCAGGCTGAGCCACCTAACTCTGTTTGTTCCAGTAAAAACAATAAAATATCCCCAATTAAAATTTGGATAAATACAGTAAAAGATCCCCAATTAAAATTTGGATAAAAACAAATAAAATACTTTTTTCCCCTTAAAAGCATGTTACAGAGCTTCACATGCAGGCTGAGCCACCTCACTCTCAGTTTGTTCCAGTAAAAACAATAAAATATCCCCAATTAAAATTTGGATAAAAACAGTAAACTATCCCCAATTAAAATTTGGATAAAAACAGTAAAATATCCCCAATTAAAATTTGGATAAAAACAGTAAAATATCCCCAATTAAAATTTGGATAAAATACTTTTTCCCCTTAAAAGCATGTTACAGAGCTTCACATGCAGACTGAGCCAATCCCAATTAAAATTTGGATAAAAACAAATAAAATACTTTTTTCCCCTTAAAAGCATGTTACAGAGCTTCACATGCAGGCTGACCACCTCACTCTGTTTGTTCCAGTAAAAACATTAAAATATCCCCAATTAAAATTTGGATAAAAACAGTAAAATATCCCCAATTAAAATTTGGATAAAAACAGTAAAATATCCCCAATTAAAATTTGGATAAAAACAGTAAAATATCCCCAATTAAAATTTGGATAAAAACAGTAAAATATCCCCAATTAAAATTTGAATAAAAACAGTAAAATATCCCCAATTAAAATTTGGATAAAAACAAATAAAATACTTTTTTCCCCTTAAAAGCATGTTACAGAGCTTCACATGCAGGCTGAGCCACCTCACTCTGTTTGTTCCAGTAAAAACAATAAAATATCCCCAATTAAAATTTGGATAAATACAGTAAAAGATCCCCAATTAAAATTTGGATAAATACAGTAAAAGATCCCCAATTAAAATTTGGATAAAAACAAATAAAATACTTTTTTCCCCTTAAAAGCATGTTACAGAGCTTCACATGCAGGCTGAGCCACCTCACTCTCAGTTTGTTCCAGTAAAAACAATAAAATATCCCCAATTAAAATTTGGATAAAAACAGTAAAATATCCCCAATTAAAATTTGGATAAAAACAGTAAAATATCCCCAATTAAAATTTGGATAAAAACAGTAAAATATCCCCAATTAAAATTTGGATAAAATACTTTTTCCCCTCAAAAGCATGTTACAGAGCTTCACATGCAGACTGAGCCAATCCCAATTAAAATTTGGATAAAAACAAATAAAATACTTTTTTCCCCTTAAAAGTATGTTACAGAGCTTCACATGCAGGCTGAGCCACCTCACTCTGTTTGTTCTAGTAAAAACATTAAAATATCCCCAATTAAAATTTGGATAAAAACAGTAAAATATCCCCAATTAAAATTTGGATAAAAACAGTAAAATATCCCCAATTAAAATTTGGATAAAAACAGTAAAATACCCCCAATTAAAATTTGAATAAAAACAGTAAAATATCCCCAATTAAAATTTGGATAAAAACAAATAAAATACTTTTTTCCCCTTAAAAGCATGTTACAGAGCTTCACATGCAGGCTGAGCCACCTCTCTCTGTTTGTTCCAGTAAAAACAATAAAATATCCCCAATTAAAATTTGGATAAATACAGTAAAAGATCCCCAATTAAAATTTGGATAAAAACAAATAAAATACTTTTTTCCCCTTAAAAGCATGTTACAGAGCTTCACATGCAGGCTGAGCCACCTCACTCTCAGTTTGTTCCAGTAAAAACAATAAAATATCCCCAATTAAAATTTGGATAAAAACAGTAAAATATCCCCAATTAAAATTTGGATAAAAACAGTAAAATATCCCCAATTAAAATTTGGATAAAAACAGTAAAATATCCCCAATTAAAATTTGGATAAAATACTTTTTCCCCTTAAAAGCATGTTACAGAGCTTCACATGCAGACTGAGCCAATCCCAATTAAAATTTGGATAAAAACAAATAAAATACTTTTTTCCCCTTAAAAGCATGTTACAGAGCTTCACATGCAGGCTGAGCCACCTCACTCTGTTTGTTCCAGTAAAAACATTAAAATATCCCCAATTAAAATTTGGATAAAAACAGTAAAATATCCCCAATTAAAATTTGGATAAAAACAGTAAAATATCCCCAATTAAAATTTGGATAAAAACAGTAAAATATCCCCAATTAAAATTTGAATAAAAACAGTAAAATATCCCCAATTAAAATTTGGATAAAAACAAATAAAATACTTTTTTCCCCTTAAAAGCATGTTACAGAGCTTCACATGCAGGCTGAGCCACCTCACTCTCAGTTTGTTCCAGTAAAAACAATAAAATATCCCCAATTAAAATTTGGATAAAAACAAATAAAATACTTTTTACAATTAAAAGCATGTTACAGAGCTTCACATGCAGACTGAGCCACCTCGCTCTCAGTTTTCCCCTTAAAAGCATGTTACAGAGCTTCACATGCAGACTGAGCCACCTCTCTCTCAGTTTGTGCCAGGAATAGCAAAAAATATTTTGACTGAGCCATCGCACATCAGTCAAACTGAGCCACCTCACTCTCAGTTTAACGTACCAGTAAGAATAGATACTTGATACGTATGATGGGGGACGTTCCTATACCTAAAAGGGAGGTATAGTATCTGTGAACCCCAAACACAGAGCGTGGCTTAACTTCGTCATACGTATACACAAGTATCCAATGCTAACTGATACATAACGTGGTCATGTTTTTCATGTCAGTCACTGAAAATAATTTTTAAATGTTACAACTGAAATAATAACAAAAACCTTGATTCCAAGTTGCCTGTGGTAAGAAGTGAAATAATATCAAAAACCTTGATTCCAAGTTGCCTGTGTTAAGAAGTGAAATAACTTCTCTGTAAAATATATCTAGTTTTGAAATTCTTGATGGTTTTCTTAAGGATTGAAGAACATGTGGCATTCCGGTAAACACAGTGTGACAGCAACTCAACTATAAAGTAAAACCAGAAAGATATGAAAATGTAAAAAGTTGAGGTCTGGAGCTGGCATGTCAGTAACTGCTAGTAGTCTGTTGTTATTTATGTATTATTGTCATTTTGTTTATTTTCTTTTGTTTCATGTTCTGACATCGAACTCAGACAACTCTTAAACTGAGTTTCACTGTGCGTATTTTTGTGCGATTTTTTTTCTACATTTGCTAGAGGTATAAGGGGAGAGTTGAGATCTCAAAAAAACATGTTTAACCCCGCCACAATTTTGTGCCTGTCCCAAGTCAAGAGCCTCTGGCCTTTGTTACTCTTGTATGATTTTCAATTGTAGTTTCTTGTGTATAATTAGTTTAGTATGATGTCCATTATCACTGAACTAGTATATATGTTTAGGGGCCAGCTGAAGGACGCATTAGGGTGCGGGAGTTTCTAGCTGCATTCAAGACCCATCAGGGGCCTTCAGCTGTTGTCTGCTCTATGGTCGAGTTGTTGTCTCTTTGACACATTCCCCATTTCCATTCTCAATTTTAGTCTTTAATCATTACTTTTTCAAATTATGACTTGGATTGAGAGTTGCCTCGTTGGCACTCATACCACATATTCTTATATCTATTTAACAATGACTTGTTCTTAGGTGGAAAGTCATTTTACTATTTATTCGAATTTCAAGATATCTCATATAATATATAAGATATGTTATATAATATATAAGATATCTAATATTTGATATCTTATTTAATGTATAAGATATCTTATTTAATATATAAGATAGCTTATAATTTCATTTTTATACAATATCTTATATATCAAATGAGATATCTTATATATTATATAAGATATAGATATCTTATATATTATATAAGATATCTCATAAAGTATATAAGATATATTACATACTTTATAAGATATCTTCTGAATTTTATAAGATATCTCATATAGTTTAAAAGATATTTCATAAATTTTATGAGATATCTTAAAAACTATATGAGATATCTTATAAACTATATAAGATATCTTATAAACTATATAAGATATCTTATAAACTATATAAGATATCTTATATAATATGTGAGATATCTTATAAGATATCTTATATAGTTTATGAGATATCTTATATAGTGTATAAGATATCTTATATAGTTTATAGATATCATTGGCATTTAAGGATAGTGTAGTTTCCTGTTTGTATAACCCGTGCATTGAGTTGCACTTTCAGGCTAAAAATAGACTTGATAAATTTCTGGCAGCACATCTATCAAGAATTAGCATATGACAATTTATTCTGTTATAAGTTTCAAGAAAGAAAATAAAAATTTGTCCATCTTTTATGTTGTTTTTGTTTATTCTAAACATATAAAACATTTTCATAATTCATTTAAATGAGCAAAAATTCTTCAATTCATACCAAGAATGTACCGTTTTAAACAAATTCTACTGAAATCTGAAGAATACCGTACAAGTTCTTCAAGTCTTTAATAGCATACAAATGTTTGTCACAGACTATTATCTGCCTAGTAAGTGTTCATATGAAAAATACCACATTTAGGTCATACAAATGCTAGTCCAGATAACATCCATGTAGTCTTTGAGTTATTTGATTATTGTCTCATTTCTGTTAAGGATTCACTTCTAATACAATTGACCTTATTCAAAGATGACGTGTTGACAACTCCTCTTCAACCAAATTGCTTGTTCTGAACTTCTCTCAACATACTGAAAAGTAAAAATAACATTTATTATCCCTAAAGTATGCATGTTTAAGTTTTTAATCAGCCATTCATATGTAAAGTTTAGTTTAATCAATTTTGAATAATTGGTAAATGATTATAAAAAAGATGTGGAATGATTGCCAATGAGACAAATCTCAACAAGAGACCAAATGGCACAGAAATTAACTACTTTAAGTCACAGAACATGGTCATAGATAAAAGGCTCCAAAATTACCATAGTAAAATAATTCAAACAAGAAAACTAATGGCCTGATATAAGTACAAAACTAGAGGCTCTAAAGAGCCTGTGTCGCTCAGCTTGGTCTATGTTCATACTAAACAAAGGTCATACATAATAGATGAGAATAGAATTCATGACAAAATTATGTTTTGGTGATGATGATGTGTTTATCAATCTTATTTTACTGAACATTCTTGATGTTTCGATTTTCTCTATCTATAATGAACTTGGCTCAGTAGTTTCAAAGGAAATATTTTGTAAAAGTTTACAAAAATTTACATAATTTACGAGAATTGTTTAAAATTTACTATAAAAAGCAATAACTCCTTATTGACCGTTTTGGTCAAGTTGACTTATTTGTAGATCTTACTTTGCTATACATAATTGCTGTTTACAGTTTATCTTTATCTAAGATAATATTGAAGATAATAACCAAATCTGCAAAATTTTCTTAAAATTACCAATTCAGGGGCAGGAACCCAACAACAGGTTGCCTCAGATTTGTCTGAAAATTTCAGGGCAGTTAGATCTTGACTTAATGAACATATTTTAATGAATGAGATTTGCTCTAAATGCTTTGAATTCAGAGATATTAGCCAAAAATTGCATTTTACCCCTATATACTATTTTTAGCCATGTCGGCCATCTTGGTTTGTGGACGGGGTCATTAGACACATTTTTAAAACTACATACCCTTAAGAAGATGATTGCCAAGTTTGGTTAAATTTGTCAAAGTAGTTTCAGAGGAGAAGATTTTTTTAAAAGATTACTAAAATTTTTGAAAAATGGTTAAAAATTGACTATAAAGGGCAATAACTCCTTAAGGGGTCAACTGACAATTTAGGTCATGTTGACTTATTTGTAGATCTTACTTTGCTGAACATTATTGCTGTTTTCAGTTTATCTCTATCTATAATAATATTCAAGGTTATAACCAAAAACTGCAAAATTTCCTTAAAATTACTAAATCGGGGGCAGCAACCCAACAACGGGTTGTCCGATTTGTCTGAAAATTTCAGGGCAGATAGATCTTGACTTGATAAACAGTTTTACCCCTGTCAGATTTGCTCTAAATGCTTTGGTTTCAGAGATATAAGCCAAAATCTACATTTTACCCCTATGTTCTATTTTAAGCCATGGCGGCCATCTTGGTTAGTTGGCCGGGTCATCGCACACATTTTTTAAACTAGATACCACAATGATGATTGTGGCCAAGTTTGGTTAAATTTGGCCCAGTAGTTTCAGGGGAGAAGATTTTTGTAAAAGTTTACGGACGACAGACGACGGACGCCAAGTAATGAGAAAAGCTCACTTGGCCCTTTGGGCCAGGTGAGCTAAAAATAGGCACGTAAACACTGAGATTACTATATAATAATACTAGTCACCCCAGCCACACAAACACACACACAGTCGATGCCTAATGCAGAAGTTCTGTTCTGTTCATACTATCGTAACAATATTCAAGAAATTCATATTTTCTTATATCCTCTACTGTAAAAAATCTACCTGCTTAGGAATTTGAATTAATGTGGTCATTACACGCAGATCTGAGATTACTGGAAGATAGTTGATTGATTTATTGTTAAACATCCAGTGGCAAATAGTTTGGCATGATCAGAACAAAAACAAATTTACGATACTAGTAAATACAACAGTTAGCCACTAGGTCCTGTAATAGGGGTCATCCAGGATGAAGGTCTGAACTTTTGAAAATGCCATTGGAAAATTAGGGTTTATTGATCTTTATTGGATAGGGACAGATATTTTGCCTTTCAGCAGACCCCCCAAAGAGTTGTTGCAAGTGTTATTAGCGTGCAGAGAGCGAGGCGAAAATTTGTTCGGACTATTTTAAGCTTAAGGCCCACAGAGGGTCAAGGGAAACGATTTTCAACTTTTTCGAACGAATCTTTTAACTCATTGGGGAAAAATTGGTTAAACAAATCTAAAATTTCTGAACTTTTATGAATAACTTTCAGATCCAGTTTCATACACAAAGTCAATGATACACTTATTCAAAGTCAAGTCAACGGTTTTTTTCTGCCAATAAAATCAGTTATACTCTCATCAACATCAACATTGAGGTGTGGGTGGGTATGAAGAAGGGATAGATTAGAAAGTTGCTCGTCTCCCATCTCAGGTAGGACTTGACGAGTCTCATTGCACTGAACGATCTTTCACTAGTTGCCGATGAAACGGGCATTGTCAATAAAATCAAAATAATCCTATGCACCGAAGGGTACAGATCGGAGTTTGAATATGGACGGGCACCGTATAAATAATAATACGCATTAGAATTACAATGTGTATTTTTTTTTTTATTCCAAAGGGGTATATAATTGGCAAATTTATGTATAGGCACGTGCCTAGTCGAGCCTTAGGTAGCTACGCCACTGAATGTGGCAGCCAAGCGATGCATTTACTAAAAATGAGTGCAAATGATTGGCATAAAAGACTAACATTGTTAGACATAATGAATAATATACAGAATTCAATATTTCACAAGGAACAACCATGGAATTAAGGAAAACTGGGTAGCAACGTTCAAGTGCCTGGTATATGGTTTAGCAATACCCAGCGGGCTATGGGTTTTGTAACCACGTGTGTTAAACAATCAAAATCCTAGAAGTATACTGAGCCAAGGATAACTTCTTATATAGATAGGAAGATGTGGTATGAGTGCTAATGAGACAACTCTCCATCCAAGTTACAATTTATAAAAGTAAACCATTATAGGTCAAGGTACGGCCTTCAACACGGAGCATTGGCTCACACCGAACAGAAAGCTATAAAGGGCCCCAAAAAATTACTAGTGTAAAACCATTCAAACCGAAAAACCAACGGTCTAATCTATATTAAAACGAGAAACAAGAAACACTTATGAACTACATAAACAGACGACAACTACTGTAATCAGATTCCTGACTTAGGACAGGTGCAAACATTTGCAGCGGGATTAAATGTTTTAATGGTACCAAACCTTCTCCCTTTTCTGAAACAATAGTATAACATCACAACATAGAAATACACACTATAAAATATCAATTGGAAGGCTTAACTCAATCAAAAAACGTAAATTAACACATAATGAACGAATAAATTTGACCTGTGACACCTGAATGCAAATACACAGTTAATAAAAAATTACAAGGGATAGATAATTAAAGTCAAAAGTAAATAAACAGGTTTAAACAAAGTTAAAGTATGATATCACTGTTATATCTATTTACAGGCTAGTGATACAGTAGTTTCACTACTTAGACCATTCAGCCACCAAGGCCCCATTATGGCAGATCCAGGGGAGAGTACTGGGGTTGGAACCCCCCTTTTTTAACGATCAATGCATTTGAGGTCATACAGTTCTCTTACTTTAGATTGCCTTAACTAAATGGTATGAAAGTTATAATACACAATACTTATTACCACAAAACTCAGTTCAAGTACAAATTTGGGTAGCATCACTTTTACCATTCTTCATGATCAGTTATGTCCCTTTATGCCAATATGTTTTTTTCAGTAAAATACAAATCTATACAGTAGGGTCAAAATATTGACCCTAGAAACTGATGAGTATAATAGTACCAGGTAAAATATGGAATTTATGAATATTAGTCCAATAGTCCATGTAGAATATGGAAAATGAATAAAAAAAATTATATCTTGAAGTTACTCCTGAATTTCAAATGGCAATTGTTCATAAAACATGTAAACCATAATGCCAAAGAAGTATAAGACCTATGTCTTCTTTTTGTTTGTGACAATGCAAACATTCTATAGCCAATGTCAATGAATTAAGACTGAGATGTAGGGTTAAATAATTTCCACGAAGACAAGAAATGCCAATGCTAATCATTCTTATACAATTTTATACCAAAACTACCATTCATTGACTAAAATTTATAAGCGGTTCCCTCTAAACTGGATAAAGCACAAACTTGAACCTATATTAATTACATTTTTCTGATACTTACGTTTCATAGATTATGAACTATGATGAGGGAACAGTACAATATAATTTCCATAGAAATGAGATGAGCAAATGCTTATAGCATGTATAGGATTGCATACCAATATATTTAACAGAAAAATTTCAATCTGATCTGGAAATTTGAGTGATAATACAAGAACGCAAATGTTTCTATTTCTATTCAATAACTGGTCGTCTCCTGTGTAACAACTTTTTATATGAAGAATCTGCAGATGGTTTGTTGCAAAGCAAATTTTATTGCCACCACCACCTATCTTTCGTCCATAGTTCCTCCCCTCTCCAACAATTTTTACAAAATTTTTAGAAGCTACTTAAGTTATTTACATCTATTAACATTTTATATCATCTTGAATATGCATTAAACATTTGCCACATTACAGTAAACAAGCAATGTCTTAAGCAGATGCATAGCTGAAGATATGGTATGGGTTTTGCTCATCGTTGAAAGCCATAGTAACATACCATTGCTTAAATCTGCAATATTTGGACTCTCAGGGATAGTTGTCTCATTGGCAATCATAGTACCACATCTTTTTTATTTATGACTATTGATAAAAATCAACCGATCAAGTCTCCTACCTGTAAACTTTGATTAAATCTTCTGTGATGAATGACCTCTCCTTCATATCAATTTCAAAATTCATAACTGCTTCTCCTTATGTCAATCATTGGCTCTCTTCAAATATCCTTTCTATGCATTTAACCATGAAGATTCTTCATTTGATTCATTTACTAATAGAAATTTCCTGCAAAACATAAAAACATGTCAATTAGGATAAACAAATAGGCATATTATTTTTAGAATATTTGTACAAAACTGAGTAGTTTTGGTAGTATAATAAAAATAAACACATCAGATACTGACCCTGCAATATTAATAATCAGTACAAACAAAGATAACTCTGTTCATTTAAGATGACAATATCAACGAGATGGCTCTAGGGAGTGTGTTGGTTTGTGCAAACTTGTCATATAAGGGTAATCACGATTTTTGCAAAATTTGACATATTTGTAGATCTTGTCTTGCTGATCATTTTTGCTATTAAAGTGGCTTTCTATCTATAATAGTTAAATGTAAAATATTATTATTTTTTTTCAGAAAAGGAAAACAAATGATAAAAGTCATCATTAAACAGTCAATAACTCTAATAATGAGTAGTTTTTAATTTCGTTAAAGTTTGACTTGTTTGTAGATATTGTCTTGTTGATCATTTTTGCAATTTGAAGTTTCTTTAAGCTGTAATGTTTCCAGGGGCGGATCCAGCAATTACATAAGGGGGGAGGGGGTCCCAACCCAGGATAAAAAGGGGGAGGGGGTTTCCAACCATATGTCCCCATTCATTTACATTAAATGTCCAAAAAAAAGGGGGGGTCCAATACATAATTACTTTTAATTTTTTTGGCAATAACCAAGATATTCAAATATTGTTTGGCATAAATTCTTATAAAATGATTATTTAGACTTATCTGATTGAACCAATATTTTATAAATATGTGCTTTTGTGTTTCATAATAATCATTCATTTGAACCTTTTATTCTGAAATCATTCATTTTGACCATTCATACAAAATCATTAATGTAATACATTAATTCATATCAGTATATTAGAAGGCATGTGAGGTATTAATTATGGAACACTGACCTTATTTGAAAAAAAATCAAAGATGCCCACCAAATTTGAATAAAATTATATAAGGAACAGCACAGCTCCAATCAGTTCAAAATATAAGTAAAGTCTGACTAAACAAAAGAATTTCCCTCCTAAATAGACACATGACTTAATGAACCAATTATCATAAAGGAGATAGAGTTTTCATAGCACAAACTAGTTAAACCTAGAGAGTAAACTAATACTCAATGGATCAAAATTCACTGAGCCATGAAGAAAGAAGTCTTACAATAAATAAAACCACTGATGCATGACTAGAAACTACTCATTAATTACTTATAATTAAATTTACTAAAATCTGATGTAAAATATAAAAATATCAAAGTATGATACACAAAACAACAGTATCCAAATTAACATACTACATGTAGTTACCATGGTTACTTGTTTGAATAACATTCAGTTGCAATAACATTTAAATGGAGTACTTCTGAGTTTTCCCCCAAAAAAACCATACATTTTCTTTTGAATATTAAAAAAAATATCTGAAGATTTTGTTTTGGTGATTATTTTGTGAATCTTGTCCTCATGATCATTTCTGCTCTGAATTTTTTTATTGCCCCTGCCGCAGTTGAGGGGGCATTAAGTTTAACCCTTGTCTGTCTGTACGTACATACGACCCAAAATTGGTTTCGGTTTTCTAACTTTAGTTTGCCTCAACCAAATGTTATGAAACTTGAACACAATGCTTATTACCACAAAACACAAGACAAGTTTGAATTTTGGTGGCATCACTTTTACCATTCAAGAGTTATGCCCCTTTACAAATGAAAAAAAATGCTGAATTTTTTGTTACGTTCTCCCACTTCAGTTTGACTCAACCAAATGATATGAAACTATAATTCACAATGCTCATTACCACAAAATACAGATTGAGTTTGAGTTTTGGTGGCGTCACTTTTACCGTTCAAAAGTTATGTTTTTTTTACAAATAGAAAAGTTGCTGAATTTTTTGTTTCCAACTTCAGTTGTCTCAACTAAATGTTATGAAATGTATATACAATGCTTATTACCACAAAACTCAGTTTAAGTTCATATTTTGGTAGCGTCACTTATACAGTTAGTGAGTTATGTCCCTTTATAACGTTATATGCTAGCGGGGACATCATCTGAGTCCCTATGGACACATTCCCCATTTATTTTATCTTTTATAGTTTTTGAATTAAAAGGAAAAACACTTAAATTGGTAAAAATCATCAATTAGGGGCAATTACTCCTTTACAGAGTTAACCAACAGTTTTGTCCTTGTCATATTTCTTGTCTTGCTGTGGCCAGGTGAGCTAAAGTAAGGAGTTGTTGTATAATTGCAAATGAGACACTTATACACCAAATACCAAATGATGTAGATGCTAGCTACTTTTGGTCATCATACAATCTTCAACGATGATCCTTAAAGCCATAAAACTCTATAGCAAGCTATAAAAGGCAGTCATGAACCAATTTAAAAAATAAAATAAAATGAGAAAACCTATGTCTGATTTAGGCTAAAACTATAATATTAGAATTACAGCCATTCAATCACAGGCTCCTGACTTTGGACAGGAATTTAAAGAATGTGTTGGGTGGGGGAGGAGGTTTCATAGGACTTAATAATGTTCCCTATGAAATAATGTCTAACAAAATTTTTTTTATAATAAATTTAAATACTGTCCATGGACAATATTTACTTATTTAAATGTGTCCAAGCCACAATTTTCCTATGAAAAATGGCCTTAGGTATGTAAAGTACTGTATATAGCCATATTTAATCATGTTAATACTAAAGTTTTATGATTTTTTTTTCATACGATTAAAGTATAATACAATAGCCATGTTATTACTAAACATATTTTAACCTATTATATATATATTGCTTACTTTTAATACATTGTTTCTTTGACAGAGAGAAGTGTTGTCTCATTGGCTCTCATACCATCCTTATATTCTTGTTTACATTTTTATACGACCACAAAAAATTTTTTGGGTTTGTATAATGCTATGATGTTGTCGTCTGCATCGTCATCCGAAGACATATTTGGTTTCCGGACAATAACTTGAATTTATGTGAATGGATCTCTATAAAAAATTTTAAGAAGGTTACTACAAAAGGATGGTTGGGATTTATTCTGGGGATGATGGTCCCAACCGCTTAGAAATTAGAGGCCCAAAAGGGGCCCAAAACAAGCATTTTTCTAGTTTCAGGATACTTACTTGTGTATTTCGATTGGTCTGAAATTATACCACAATGTTTAATGCCACATTTTGGGGGTTATGGTGCCAACAGATTGGGAACTAAGGGCCAAAAAGGGTAAAAAAAAAAGCATTTTTGTAGTTTCCGGACAATAACTTGTGTGTAAGTGTATGGATCTCTCTGACATTGTACCACAAGGTTCCATATCAAGGGAAGGCTGAGATTGAGTTTGGGGGTAATTGCCCCAAACATGCAGGAGTTGGGGGCAAACAAAGGACCAAAAACAAGCATTTTTCTAGTTCAATACCAGAAAGGGAAGGTTGGGATTGATTTTGGGGGTTATGGTACCAAAGGTTTAGAAATTAAGGGCCCCAAAAGGGTAAAAAACAAGCAATTTTGTAGTTTCCTGACCATAACTTGTGTGTAAGTCTATGGATATCTCTGAAAATGTACCACAAGGTTCCATATCACAATGGGAATACTGGGATTGGTTTTGGGGTTATGGTACCAACGGTTTTAAAAAAATTGGGGACCAAAAAGGATAAAAAAAAACAAGCAATTTTGTAGTTTCCGGACCATAACTTGTGTGTAAGTGTATGGATCTCTCTGAAATTATACAACAAGGTTTCATATCACAATGGGAAGACTGGGTATGAGTTTGGGGGTAATTGTCCCAAATGTTCAGGAATGAGGGGCCAAAAAAGGGGCTAAAAATAAGCATTTTTGTAGTTTCTGGACAATTACTTGTGTGTAAGTGTATGGATCTCTCTGAAATTGTACTACAAGGTTCCATATCTCAATGTGAAGACCGGGTAAAAGGTTGGGGGGTAATTGGCTCCAAAAGTTCAGGAATTAGGGGCCAATAAAGGTGCAAAAAAATAGCATTTTTCTTGTTTCCAGACAATAACTTGTGTTTAAGTGTATGGATCTCTTTGAAATTGTACTGCAAGGTACCATACCTCTAAGAGAAGGCTGGGATTGAGTTTGGGGCTAATTACTTCAAGGGGGGTCAAAATAATTGGGGAATAGGGGGGTCATAAATTTTATGTATTTTTTTTTTAATTTTCCATTTTTCAATGAATTATATTAGATAAATGTAAAAGCAAAAAATATCGATATAACAGGAGAAACACACAAGTTATCATATGAAGTATTGTGCAATAGCAAGAAATCTTCCAATTGCATAGAATTGCGCTATAGCACAGTATTGCGCAATAGCAAGAAATCTACAATTGCACAGTATTGAGCAAAAGCAAGAAATAACCAATTGCAAAGTATTGCACAATAGCAAGAAATCATCAATTGCACAGTATTTCACAATAGCAAGAAATCTTCAATTGCACAGTATAGCACAATAGCAAGAAATATCTTATTGCACAGTATTGCGCAATAGCAAGAAATCTTAAATTGCACAGTATTAAGCAATAGCACAGTATTGTGTGTAGTAAGATGTCTCATTTCAGATTTCAGAAATTAAAAAGAAAATGTCTTCAAATATTCAATTCACAACAGCATAGTGTATTGCACAAAAGCAAAACATTGAATATAAATTCAAATAATATAACCAATTCTAAGTTCTTTGACTATGTACAGTTATTCTGTGTCAGAAACCTGGTATGTGTCAAATATTTAATTACAATCCAAATTCAGACCTGTATCAAACGCGAATATTGTGTTCATTTTTGCCCCAACTGTTCAGTGTTGAACCTCTGCGGTCGTATCCAGCTGTGCTCAGCGAAGCAATTTATTATCCATTTGGGAATGGGGGTCAAAGGGGATATTTTTCCTTTTTTAAGACAAAATTTTTAAATTGTACATATGACTGTTTTTTTTATATATTTTTCAATTTTATCTCAAAGTCAAATCGGAGACTAAAAAACTGGTACTCTAAAAGGAAAAGATAGGT